CTGTTTATAAAACCTTACCGTGTACACCTCTGTGACTTTATTATGCCCTAGGGAGAAAGTTATAAACGAGAAATGGCAGAGAGCACAGTAACCCCAAAAGACTTGGAAGTCTGACATAGTTATAGAAAACAGAAAGCAAAAACAAAAATCCAGGGTTCTGCCCAGCCATGAGCTGGGAATGCAGTCATGAGTTAATGTTATTAAATAAAGCAAGCGGGCTGATGACCAGCCAGGGCAAAGCTGACCTGAGCGCCCAGCCTTAGCTCTTCTATGATGTGTATGCAGTGTGTAGCTGGAGTCCTGAGCAGGAGAAAGGCTCAAAGTTTTGATTCACAGCCTTTACAGAGGATGCTGAAAACAAGAATGGATGCAGGGATGAGCAGCAGAGGTGAGGGAGACGTGGGAAATCAGGGCTCAAAGAATGTTAAAAGTAACACTTTAAAAAAAGAATACTTGGTGTTAACCCTCTTTCTGATACATAGTAAGACACTCCCCTATTTTTCCCTTTAATTCTTTGCTTCCTGTTCCTCAGCTTTCTGGAGAGAAGACTTGTGAGCAGCCCAATAAATCAGTTGGTGATAATTTATCGAACAGATATGTCTGTGTCAATTCTAAAGGAAAAAAAAGATATTCCAGCACGAAAAGCCACTTTTTAAAATAATTAGGGTTGTCGAGTTGCAAGAAGACTTGATTGGCCTTAAAAATAGCAGAAGAGTTTTGAGAAGGGAATTTATTAGTCATTCTTCACCTCGGCCAAAATAGCTGTAAATGATCACGTAAGAAATTTCAACCAGACACTCAGACTGGGAAAACCAGCAGTCCCTGGGCCGGGGTGCTCAGGAGAATGAGGCTACTTTGACCAGGTTATGTTCTTCCTCACATCATAATTCTTATCTCCCGAATAACGGGTCCGATTTTATTTGTGAGAACAATGGCTCACTCCGTAAAGCCCAGATTTCTTCTCCCTCCTGGGCACTTTTCTACCCTTTCGCCTCTGCCCAAGCCCAGCTTTGAATCGGGCTGGGCTGCCGAGGGAGCTCACAAGGGCTCCCGGGGAGCTCTGACCCCAGCCCCTGCTCCTGTGGATGGGCTGCCGCGGCAGGGATGCAGGCTGAGTGCCTGTCACGGTCACCATGGTGACTTCGCAGCAGCTGCAGTCCGGCCCTCCATGGGGAAGGTGCGTCTGATGGTGCTCAGAGCCAGCCTGTGGCAGCCCCAGCTGAGGCCAGCAGCCTGCGGAGGCCCAGCGGCTAGCTTCCCAGCGGCCTGTCCAGGGGCTGTCTGCACAAGCCGGGCCCAGAGGAGCAGGCTCAGCCTCCCGCACTCATGCACTTCTCTCCCAACTCACCACTCTGAGAACATCTCACAAGCCTGAGAAAAACCACTAGAGGCCTTCTCTAAAGGAAAAACAAATTATGTGGAATCGTAGGTTTAGTTCAAGAGTATCCCTCCTGGGCTATCTGCTAGTAGGTTGATTTTGCAGCTGTTGCAGGTGGGAGAACTTCTGGACCCCTAGACCCAGACCTGGAAGGGGCATCTGCCCCCACCCCACCATGTTCTGCTGGGCTGCAGGCAGAGGGCCAGCGCCCCTACCTGGCACCTGGCACCTGGCACCTGGCACCTGACATACACAAAGTCTGCCAGGCCCAGAGCCCAGGGAGCCCAGCAGCTGGCAGATCTGCTCATGGTTCCCTCCAGGAGGAGGGCAGCCGGCTGGAGCAGCCTCAGTGTGAGGCCAGCAGGACATCTGCTTCCCTGGCCGCAAGATCTGAAGGGCGGATGCAGGAGGCCAGCGGGGGTGGCAGCACCTCGGGGAGGCCACAGCCTGTCCCTTTCAGTGCCTGTCTCTTCCCCTCCCCCCCTTCGGCTGGCATGTCAGGAAAGAGAAGCCTCACCCTAGCAAAGTGCCCTGAAAAACAAAGCCTTCCCAGCCGGTGCCAAGCCTGCAGGGTGCAACCTCGAGCCCTGCTGGAACACGGGCATAGGCAGCGTTGGGACCCAGCCACTGCCTCGCTTCTCTGGCCTGGCTGGACACCTGTGTGCTGTCAGGGACTGATGAGCTGAAGCAGTGCAGGCCAAGTGGCCACCTGGGGACAGGAAGAGATGGATGAGCCTGGGACCCAGACCAGCCTTCTCCATAAACACAGTGTGAAGCCACCAGGCGGCCCCTGACCTCCAATCTCTCAGCTTCCTTCTCCTTTTGGCAGGTGCTCTGGATACCAGAGTTTCAATTCCTGTGAACTGGAGAACTGGCTTTGCGGTGACAGTGACATCAAGGAACTAAAGTCCTCTCTATGAGCCAGGTTCGAAGTAAAAAAGAAGCTGGGCATGGTGGCACATACATGTAATCCCAGTACTCCAGAAGCCTAGAGCAGAAAGATCCTGAAAGCATGAACAGTTTAACACTTTAGACCTTCTCTCAAAATTAAAAAAAATTTTACAGGAAGGGTAGGGATTTAGCTTAGCACAAAGATCCTGAGTTCAACTCCCAGAGCTAGGGGGGTGGGGGCATAGGAGAGGGGTGGAGCAGAAGGAAGGAGAAAGGAACTGTCATCATTCCTCAATCAGCATAAACATTTAAAAATAAACAAGCAGGTGTTTCTGGTCTTGCCTGGCCAGGAAAGAGCAGTTTATAAACTGAGGGAGGGGACCAAACATTTATGTTGCTGTCGAGCTCCCTGGGACTTGCTTTCCTGTGGCAGCTGCTAACCGTGCGGATAGGAAAGCAGTGACCCTGGGGCTGTCCCCAGGGTTCAAGTGATGAAGGTCACCATGGTGGTGTGATCCCTGATAACCAATGGGCCCCATGTCTCTGATAAAGCCCTGTCTTGCTGGCCTCAGTGGTCCATGGATGCTCCCTTTCAGATGTCCAGCAGCGGAGCAACAAGATGACCGTCGCCTGCCACGATCCTCTGGTTCAGACCCGGTCCCTTCCAGTAGCGTGGCACTGTCCCTTAGAGGTCCGTGGCCACACCTCCTCACTTCTGGGCTCTGGTTTATGCAGAGTCAGTGGGAACCTTCCTTTCTTCCCAGGAGCCTGGTGATTCACAGATAGATCAGAGAGCTGCCAAACCCTTGAGCTTATCTTTTGGTGGGCACAGCGCTGCCTCCCCCAGGTAGGGAGACCCTGTCCCCAACACATCCCCCATGAGTCATCAGTCACTCGAGGTTGTTAGCCCCTCAGATCTTCAGGCCCGACTGCCAGAACTGCCACTGCCAGGGCTCAGGCTCCAAGGACAGTGAAGCCACACAGAGACTGTCACATCTAGGTGAAGATACACATGTATCGCAGAGCTGGTGCATGTCTACATGAAGAGACAGACACACACAGCCGGGAGCGCTGTTATTTCTCTGCTAAACTCCTTCCGTAGGGATCAGGAACTCTCTCTCGTCTCCTGTGCCCTTATTGAGGGCAGCAGCACACCACCCCCCCTTCTCTGCTTACTGCACTGTCACATTATCATCCATGTCCCCACCTTCCAAGTCCATGATGTGGCAGCAGAGGCTTCGTCTTGTCTATGGCCCAAGGCAGTAAGCGCTCAAGTGTTTGTAGAGTGACGTGAGAGCCCTCCAGATCTCCTGCTAAATCCCAGCTCAGCCATTGACCCCCAAGGTGCCCATGGCACAGGCTGATGTGAGCTGGCTTGGTTTCCTGGGCTCTTCAAACCTCTCACCATCTGCATGGAAGGAAGATGAACATGCTTTTGTTTAATAAGGAGATAAAGAGATAAATACTTAGCTAAACACACTGAAAGGTCTTCATTCTTCCAGGAGTGCCACTGTGGAGTGGGGCGTGAGAGGTGATTAAACAGTAAGCAAGCAGTGGGATCACTTTGGCATCACTTGGACCTCTCAGTCCCCTGGGGAATTGCACCCCGAGACCTAGAAGCCAAGGAGAAGGGTAAACAGTGCCCGGCGGGTTCCCTGTCAGGATATGGGAAGAACAGTTCTGGCTGCCAGGAGATCTGGGTGCCAAAGGTAGCACCCTCAGGAGTGCAGCTCAGCTCCGGTGAACCTCATTCCCTCTGCAAGATGATAAGAAATACTTGCCCCTGCCCACCTCGGAGGACGGTTGCAAAGAATAAATGGGCTAAGAGCCAGGAGGGCACTGTGGGAAACTATGGACCCCTTCCAAGCCTAGTGGCCGGAGCCTCAGAGGCTGGCGCACGGGGAAAGTCTAGTGACAGAGGAAGGCGTGGAACATTGCCCTCCCCACTCTCCAGGCTCAGTGCCCCTGACTTTTTCCATGCAGCTCCTGTCCCCCACAACCCATATGTTGTGTGTTAATTTCTAATATCGCAGGATGTGCCTATTTTGGGACATAGGACCTCTGAAGGAGTGATTAAGTTGAAATGAACTCTCACCCTAATCCAACATGACTGGTATGTTTTCAGAATAAGACACAAACACACACAGAGAGCACGGCCATCCACACAAGGAGAGGCCTCAGAAAAACAACCCTGCTGAGCCTGGACTTCCCGCCTCCAGGACTGGGAGGAATGAAAGCCTGCTGACTAAGCCTCTCCCTCTGGTGCCCATGCAGATAATGCAGCCCCTCCTCACTCTTGTCTGCTCTTCCCCTCAGCCTAGTGGGTGTCAGCTGTCCACATCGATGCCCCTCTAGCTGGGCCCAACGAAGTTTCTGGAAACAAATTCTCTAAGCCTGACCCAATGCGCTTAACAGACAGATGTGAGCTGGGGACACTTCCTGCCCAGGTGGCCCCTTCAGGGTTGATTTCCAACATGCCACCGTGACATTCAGGAGCACACACTTCCTGTCACCACCAGCCTACACAATAGGAAATGACCTGCTCCTGTCTGTCCAAAATATGTGTCCTTGAATGACTGATAAAAACCCTGCCTCCTGAACTCACCTTAGAGATTCTAAATCAACAACAAGCAGTGTGTCTGAGAGTGTGTGCTTCCAGTACTTAGAGACCTATGCACAGCCTGTGTCAGTCAGCTTTGCATCAGTGTGACAAAATCTCTGAGACAATCAATTTAAAAGGAAGATAGGTTTAATGTGGCTTGTAGTTTCAGAGGTTTCAGTCCATGGCCACTTGCCTTGTTGTTTTTAGGGCTGGGGCAAGGCAGAGCCTCATGTGAGTGGCATCTGATAGGGCAAAGCTGCTCATCTCATGTATCTGGAAAGCAGAAAGAGAGGGAAAGGGGTAAGATCCCAACACCCCCTTTTAAGGCCACGCCCCAATGACCTAACTTCCTTCCACTAGACCCCACTTTCTATGGTTTCCACCACCTCTCAATAGCTCCTTCAGCTGAGACCAAACTTTAATACAGACAACTTCAGGGGACATTTACGATCCAAATCATAACAACCAGGTTCAGGAATCACTGACCAGCTTGTCGTGGTATGAGCTGTCCCTGCATCTCATAGGTCTTATGTGTGGGTGACAATGACAGAGTATTAGCAGAGACTCTTAGAGGATGTTATGTTTATATTTAGATACCCCCCAAATCCTCATGTGCTCATAGATGAGGGTTTTAGGAGGTAACTGAATAATGAGTTAGCCCACTGATTGGATAGCTAATGTGATGCTGGAAGATGAAGCCTAGTTGGAGGAAATGTGTCCTCAGAGGCATGGCGGGAAGTTTATCTCCCTTCAGCTCCCTTGATATCTCTCTCTCTCTCTCTCTCTCTCTCTCTCTCTCTCTGTTTCCTGCTGCCATGCCATGTACTGTTTCTCTTCCACCCAGCCCCTCTGCCTTGGAGCCAGTTGACTATAGACTGAAATCTCTACCCACTCTGGGGCAGAATAAACCTTTCTCCATTTAATTTGCAGGTATCAAGTATTGCGTCTCAGCAATGAGAAAGTGACTAAGACAGAGGGCACAGGGACATTCACCAAGACTACAGTTAGAACCTCTGAGGACCCCTTTTGTGACACCTGGTAAGCCCTTGCCTGTGTTTCCTTCCTTTAACAGTGAAGAATGACCTCTGCTCAGGATCACAAATCACAAGACACTGGAGGAGCATTGTTAGGGGACATCAAGTCCATGCCCCTTCTACTTGACAGAGACAGCAGTGGGGAGGGGTGACTTACCCACACATAGCCAGAAGGAGGTGGGCCTGGGGTTCTCCCATCCCTTCTTCTCTTCTTGCTTCTTCAATGGCTTTGCTAAACACCATTCCAGCTTCTGAATGTGAAAACCAGTTTGACTGGAGCTCCCCAAGCACCTGCGAGCCGAGCTCTTCAGACACATGATCACATTTGATCTTCACAGCAACCCTCATTGCCCGTATTTTCTGTGTGCCCAAGTTACACAGACAATGAAGTTGGAGTCGGGACTCATTCAGGTCTGCTTTGCTTCAACTCCAAGACATCCACTATCTAGGGATGAAAATTCCTGACTTTATAAACTGCTGGGGAAGTCTCAGGGTCTCTGGTTCCAGGTTGGAATCCTAGGAATCTACTCCATTCTACATGTAGCCATAGCTGGCCTGGTCAGGGCTCCTTCCCGACTCGTTCCTGCTCATCTAGCTTCACAAGTCCTCTGAGCTTGGCCAGCAAGATGGTCAGCTCAGCCAGGGGCCCTGAGATTTCTCCTGGAAGCTCTCAGATGACACCAGCTGGAAGGCCAGGAACCAAGCTACACTGGCCCAGCAGGAGACACTTCCCATCCTGACACCTGTGCTTTCTCTTGGCCTCTGGTTACTAGAGACAACACCATTCCCTACCAGCCACAATAGTGGGAGTACTGCTTCCCAGGCTGAGGGCTCTAACACTTTGCAGTTTGTTCATGCACCTACAGAGGGCGTCCTGCTGGTAGCTGCCAATGGTAGTGTAACAGAAAATGCACCCCCAGTCAATGTACCTGTTTGTTAGTTACCCAGGTAATAGTTCCTGTTCCAGTTCCGGTTGCTCCTGTCTCTTAGAAACAGCTGGTCACTATGATGCACATTGTATAAACCAATCCCCAGTTGATAAGCCATTCTGCCTCTGCACTTGGTGCTTATTTCATATAATCCCTAGATCACCAGAGATCAGGACCTGATAGTCTGAGAATGACCTCAATTAGTGCCTGTCGACATAAATAAATCTGACTCCAAATCCTGCATGTCGTTTCAGTGTTTCCGCTCACCCTTGCAGCAACAGGAGATAGGAAGAGGGAACCTGCTTAGATCTCCAACAACTCCCATCTTGGTTACTTTTCACTCATTGTTGAGACAAAATACCTGATGCCCAACATGAAGGAAGGAAAGATTTATTTCTTGCAGTTCTTGGAGGTTTCAGTCCATACTCAGCTGGCTCTAAGGCAGGATGGCATGCTGAGGGGAGCTATTCATGGTGGCCCCAAACAACAAGAACTAAAGGGCAGAAAAGGAAAGACAGCCTTCTTCCCGTCCTTACACTGTATGTCGGCTCCACTCGTGGGCAGGTGCAACACTCACATCAACAATCCCAGCGCCAGACAACAAACCAATCACAAACACTAGATTCAGCTGCGTCCATGATTGTATGAGGCTCAGGGGGCCACCTAGACACAAACCATAACACCTCCTGCTCCCACCCCTACCAGTCCTACCAGAAGTTTCTGGTCCCTCCCACAACATAAGGTAAATGGCAGGGCTTCCTTCATTTGTCTATGTATACAGAAGAGCTTGTTAAATTCTTGCTGTGTGGCAGACACTGAGAATACAGCAGGAAATGAAAGAAGCCAACCAATCCACACCAACAAAAATCCCTGCCTTTGTATAACCTGCATTCTAGCTGGGGAGACAGAAAGCAAATAAATAACTACATGTAAAGTAAGTTAGGGAAGTGCCAACAAGAAAATGAAACCACAGAAGGCAGACACAAAGTGCCAGGAGTGGTGGAAATTTCTCGTAAGGAAGCCAGGAAAAGCCCTGCTGAAGTTACTTTTGAGCAAAGATGAGGAAGTGGGAAAACAACCACAGGGCAATGGAGGAAGAGAGCACAGGTGCAAAGGCCCCAAGGAAAAAGCAAAGTGAACCAAGCGGGCTGTTAGGAGACAGGGCAGGGAAGTGTGGTAGCCGGAACAGAAGGTGGCTCGTGCAGAACTCCTGGGAGGTTGGCAGAGAGGCGCCCAAATCTGGCTCTGCACCGAGGAGTCTGGCTGCGGGGTTGAACACAGACTGAAGGGGGGTGGGAGTAGAAACTCTGAGCACCAAGCCTGATCCCAGGGAGGTTTGCTGGTTTCCATGACAAAGAGATCTGAGAGGAGTACCTAGCATCACTCCCTGCTGTTGGCTGGAAAGAAGGTCCCAGTCTGTCCCATGCCTTCCCTGACTTTCTGACTCCTTCCTGGTGATAGAGGAAAGAAACTCCCCACTTGCTAGATGTTCTCTAAAATCAAGTGAATTCCAGGAACAATGGAGGTTAGCAGTAGGAAGAATTTATTGAGATAAAGCAAGCCTGTGTCCAACAGGCACAGAAGGGGCCCTGGAAAGTGGATTGCCCGTCAACCCCATTTCTCAAGGGTGTTTTATTGAGCAAAACCACAAGGCAAGGACTTAAAGTGGGACAGGACTGTAATTAATCCATGAGATTACATGTATAATCACTTAGGTAATATTGATCCAGTAGGAAATCACAAGGTAGATATGAGGTGGGACAAGACTATAGCGAACCAGTAAGGTCACAGCAAGGATAGTCACTTGGACGATGTTGATTAAATGGGGATCAAAGCAAGTCCCATAGCAAGTGCACCGGGGTGGACAAGGGCTTTCTTGGAAGGGGTGGTTAGGAAGGTTTGACCCCTACCCAGGCCATTTGTGCCTACTTAGAATATCAACCACTGCCCCTCTTCCCTAGGGGAAGTATGTGGGTAAGCAGTTCTTTTTCTTGAAGCCCGACCTTCAATGGATGCCCCTCCAGTCACACCTGTCTTCTGCATTGATCCCCTCGAGGGCCCAGTGCTGTCTGACGGCCTGTAATATTGCTACCTAACTTAGCTGTCTATAATACTCGTTCCTCAGCTTGTCCTGCCCAGGAAGCAGAATCCACCTCAGGTCTTAGCAGCAGCACACCTGGAGTGAGTTACTAGGCCCCCTGTCAAGATGAAGAGGACTAGAACTTGGGGCTCACGCTGGTGCTGCCGGGCTCACTCCTGACCATGCTGCATGGCGGTGACTTCAGTGCAGGCCACTCCACAGAGGCCCTGGGAACACCGGGCAGCAGCCTCGAGCTGCGTTCTGAGGCCCCATCGGACATGTTGCTGATGGAATTCCAACCCTCTCCCCCAATGAAGGTACACAGGGTTTCCCAATGCCACTCTGCAGAGACCTCTGAGAAGGTCACCAGAAGCCGGGGTCTCTTCTAGCCTGTGCGTGTGGGCTGGAGGGGCAGAATCATCTGCTCCAATACCCCACCACACAAGGGGGCCGTGTAGTACTCGGGCAGGTGCTTAGCCTCTCTGAGCCACCAGTGCTTGTCCATGAACAAGTGTGACTTTAACACTGACAGGGCAGAGAACCTCCTCTACATCTACCGTCTGGTAAGTGTCCAAATGTGTACTGATGCATCTCCAAAAGATGCTGCATCATGCAAATGACTGCATCACAGCTCTTGAGATCTCACCCAGAGGGTTGGGGGAGAAGTACAAAGGAGAGAGATGTGAATTTCCCAGGGTAAACATATTTATTGCCTATAGCAAACATATACTAACAAAAGGGCCGGGGATACAGCTCGGCAGCATAAACACCCACCTGGCAAGCAAAAGGTCCTGAGTTCAATTCTAGATATATAAAAAAAAAGGAAAAAGTTTAAAAAAGAGGAGAGCCAGGCATGGTGGCACACTCCTATAATCCCAGCACTGGAGTGGCTGAGGCAGGAGGATCGTTGCAAGTTCAAGACCAGCCTGGGCTACAAAGTGAACCCAAGGCCAGCCTGAACTATGTAGTGAGACCCTGTCTTGAAAAGAAAAAAAAAGAAAGAAGGTATCAAAAAGATACCTTACCTTCTATAAGACCACAAAAGGTAGACAAGCTTGAATCCCCTGGCTTTAGCTCGGGTCTCCAGCCTTTGCAGGAGACCAGCTTTTTAGGTGGTCAGTGGCCAGCAGCTAGGAATGCCATCTTGTCCTCCCCAAGATTTGGCTTTGGGGGTTTGCAGGAAATTCTGCTGTGTGTGCTTTCTGACAGAGCAAGTGTGTCTCCTCCTGCCCCCACAGCAGCCTGCACCTTCCAGGAGCAGGTGAGGGAGGCTGCCTGGCCCTGGCAGCGGAGTCACAGTATGCCAGCCAAGAGGCTGTCTGGGGCGGTGCCAAGGGATGGGCGAGACAACTGTGCACAAGCTCCGGGGCCGCTTTCTTTCCCGAAAGATCTTCATTTCCACACTAATTGCAATTTCAGCCTGGGTTTCAGGTGCCCGTGTGCTGCACTGAGCTGGCAGAGTCCTCCCTGGCCTGCTTCCTGGGCCTCTGTTTTCTTGGCCACACGTGGCCAGCCCTAAATTGACAAGGAAAAACACAGCTCTCCAAATTATTTAGGTGTCTTATCTGGGTTATTGTGGAGGTTGGGATAGATCCCAGACAGGCTTCAGCCGCTGTGAACGCAGGCCTGACCAGCCCTGCCTGCCTCCCAGCTTCCCTGTCCTTCCTGTTGCAGACTGGTAAGATCTGACTCTTCCAGCTCCTGTGTTGAAGGCCTGCTGCCACCGTAGGCACAATGGGGTGGTGGAACTTTAGAAAGGGGCCCAGCAGAAGGAAGTGAAGCCCAGAAGTTAGGTGAGCCCCAGAAGGGAGGACTGGGACCCCGTCCCCTTCCTCTGCTTCTCGCTGTTTCCAGGCTGCTAACAGCCTTGTCCCCTCCATGTTCCCTGCTCTGATCGCTGCCCCCTCAAACAACGGAGCCCGACAAGCACCTACTTTCCTGCCACTGAGACACAGCACCCAACACCCTCAATTTACAGGAGAAAAAGCTTATTTTGCCCTAAAGTTTCAGCCTATGGCCAGTGGATTCCAAAACAAAAACAGCATGGCAGAAAAGCCTAGCAGAGAAGTGCTCACCCCGTGGCAGCCCGGAGGCAGAGAAGGGACAGACAGCCAGGGTCAAGAACACACCTGTCCAGGTCAGGCCCCTGGTGACCACTTCCAAGCAGGCCGTCTCCTGACAGCACATTCATTCAGTGACTGAGCTCCTCCAACAGATGCCAAGCAAGGCCGGCACTTCCAAACACAGGAAAGTCGGCGGGTACACAGAACTCAGAAATCAGGGGCCCAACTAAACCTGCCCTAAATCGATTCTCTCAGCTGTTTTGTGACAGCAGCTGAAACCTAACACACTGACTACAAATAAATTTCACTTTCCTCAGTCTTCTTCCCAGCTGCTCCACAAACCAAGTAGCACAAGAAGGCCGGAGCCAGAACGGCTGGTTTTCCTGGGCAGGGAGATCCTGTGGGACCTGCAGACCTGCCTCCAGCCCTCCCTCTGAAAGGCAAAAGCATTTAAGGGCTGGGGTGTGGGCCGAGGAGAGGGGAAACTGCAAAGTGGAACAGGGGTTTGGACAGCTGCAAGGAGGTGGGTGGGCGGGACCAGCATGGACAGTCCAGCAACACAGCCATCTGACAGATGGGTTTTGTTATTGCTGCCCAGGTCTGGGGCTAAAGGTTCAGGGTTTGTACATTGAGTACTTTAGGGTGAAAGCAGGAACCATTTCAGCTGTCACACATTTTCCCCAAGAGTGGGAACAGAAGGAGGCTGCACTTAAGGAGGCTCATAAGCATATCTGAAAGAGGCTCCTCAGGTGTACTTCTTAGCCCTTCCTACTGCCTAGGCCCCTTCTCTAGCCGTCAATGAAATGTAAGATTGTAAAGTCGTATTGCCAGCGGGTCCGTTTTCTGCTCGATGCAGTGCATAGCTGGTCTGCACGTTGACAGCTAAAGGGGAAATAAAACGCAAAAACTAAGAGGGGAAAAAGAAAGCCGCCATGCAAAGTTGCAGGCTGGCTTGGTAATAGCAGCCCTCGCTCCTACTCCGGAGGCTGGTCCAAGCCGAGGAGGATTTTGCTCAGTTAAGCAGAGTCTAACCTCTAGGCTATCATGAAAAGGGTAAGGTTTGTTACCAGCTTTGTATGCTCCAGTCGTCGGAAGACAGCAGGGAAATCACATTAAGCGCTGGCTGCCAGGTTTTGTGGGGAGGGTAAGACGAGGTCTGTGAATGGTCCTGGGAGAGGTTTGTTACCTTGACCTTTAGAGCTACCTGCGTCCTGATTGGCCAGCTGTGCTGCCCTCTCCCCTGGGACGTAGGGGAAGGGGCGGGGAGAGGGCTGGATTTGGTAAGGCAAGGGTTAGGCGCCCCGTGCTCCGGGAGCGCGCAGAGGTGGGGGCAGGTTTCTGGGGCAGGAGGGGGCGTCCCTTGGCAGTGCAGCTGCGGAAGACAGGTTCTTGCACAATACAGCCACCTCACCGAGGCCCAGCCTTGTGCTCTGCGACAGGCCCGGTGCAGGCCGTTCCGAGGCCTCGGTGGGGAGCAGAGAGCGGCTTCCTCAGGGGCACTATTCATCAAAGTCCTGTTGCCAACCCGGAGATCTCGCCCGCAATGCTAATGGGAGTGGAAGCTGTCCGGGGACAAATCACGGCAGAGCCCGGGTGGGAACCAGGCCGCCTCGGCCTCCGCCTGGCCCAGCCATCTGAGGCGGGGCATCCCTAGTGTGTATTGATCTGCTCGCGCCCGGCGCGGTAACCACGACGACCGCGCGGGCCTGACCCCGCCCCGCCGCGAGAGCCCCGCCTCCCCGAGCTCCCCATTGGCCATCTTCCCTGAAGCGCTCGAAGCCACCAATCATCATCTACGTCTCCCTACAAAGGGTGGAGAGACTGCTCCTGGCGGAAACCACGCTCTGCAGGAGGATCCTGCCTGTGGTTTAATTGAGGTGAACGTTAACCCTCATAGGAGAGACAGAACGCGAACTGCATTACCTAGTCCTATGCTCTTAAAGGAGCACTGCGAGCCCAGGCGGCCCTAAAAACCAACTGTGGCCGATCCCCGTGACGAAGAGCCGTCAGATTGGGCTCATCCTGGTTGTGGAGACTGCAGGCTCCATCACTTCCTGAAGCATGTCACTTCCCATGCGAGGGGGACTCTTCAATTTAAAAAGTACTGAATAGTCCGTCTGGATCCTTCAGTTCCAAACTTCTGAATCATGCCCCGGAAGCCAACGTCGTTCGGGCATTCAGGTCTGAAATTCAAAGCACCGTATGGGAGGCTGGCTTGACATTTTTTTCTTTGCCTCTGTCTGCAGAGAAGAATTAGCTGTCTCATTCCCCTTTGCCGCAGGGGTAGTAAAAATCAATAGTGCTTCATCTGCAAGGGAGATGAATTTCCTATCTAACCCCTCGAGATCAGGGAGGCCTGCGACTCAGGATTGATAGAACTGTCAGCTGTCAGACCCACAGGGGCCATAAATAATCCAGTCCAACCCCTTGGCTGTTCTGGTGAAGACAGTTGCACCAGGCCACCGGCTGTGGAGAGCCTGGGTGGAAATTAGTGCTCTTTGGGCTATGCCATGCAGGACAGCCGTGGCCACTTGCTTTCCTTGGGGACCCCAGTTTACTGCCTTTTCCCTTCCTCTTCCTCCTCTTCTCACAATTTCCAATAATAATTGGCAGTGTGCAAATCCAGCCCTCAGAACCTAAGAGGCAAAGGCCACCCTGAATTTTCTGATCCTAGCAAGCTGACTTCAACTTGGCCACTATCTGAAGTGCTGTCAAACGTGGGCGTTTCTGCCACCTGCAGGCTGTGACTCTCAAGGAGTTACAGCTGATTTCACAGATTCAAAGCCTACAGAGCACAGCGGCAAAACATTTGGTTAGCAATGGCATAACCAATTGGCCAGATTCTCTTGAACACTGAATCCACTAAACTTGGTATCTGTAAGACTTGCAGCCACCAAGAATAGACTTCCTCATTTCACCAAATGTGTATCTTGGGAGCATCCACCATTCATTGGACTCTTGGTAGCCTCAGAGGGTGCAAGAATTTGCCAGTTTCACAAAGAATCATTACCCTTGGACAGCTTGTGACATGATTGGTCAGACAGAGCCCTGTGCTGAAGCAACCTAGATAAGTCTACCTGAAAGGTTCCCGCCACTCCCTAGTCAGTACATATAAAGGAGGTCACATGAGTTTTAATGTTCAGGTTTTGATTACTCAAGAGTCCTCACCTCTAAAACATTAGGACCTTCAGTGCCTCCGCCTGTGTTTCTTTTCCAGGGCCTGAAAGGCCATTAAAACCATCACTTCCCCATTGCCACTGATGGCTCTGTCCCACACTGTTAGGATCCCTGACTTTATATAAGGCTGAACTCTGAAATGTAGCCCAAATGCAGGAGGAATAACAGGTTCTGTGCAGTGTCACGTGAGAGAACCTAACAGATTGGGTTCTTTCCCTAGGGCAGTGGTGGAGAATCTATGGTACCCATGTTGTTCAGTTTTCTTTTAAGACAAAAGATGTTACTGTATGAGATGGCTTTTTTTTTTCTCTAAACTAAAACTTCAGTATTTAGGTTTAATAGCAGTGTCAGCACTTTATGACCCATAGGTGAGTTGGGGATTGCAGTTTGGGCACTCATCTCTAAAAAGTTCACCATCACTGCCCCAGGGCTAGCTCTTCTCTCCATGCCTCTGGAGTACTTGGCTGTTATTTCTGTCCTGATAAGGACTTGAAGAAAACAACAAAACAAAAGGCTAAGATGCGTGTGATGCATTTCTTTTCACCCTACAGGACAAAGCCCAAAATCTTTCTCTATCTTGCTCAAAGCAGATCCTGTGCCATCCTTAACTGGCACCAATTAAGCACCCACTCTGTGCTGGCATTAGGGGTGTGGTGCTAGATTAAACACATAAGACCAGAGCCAGCCTCCACAGAGCCTGCAGACTCCAGGCAGTAGTGAGAGCAGCAGGCAGAGATTCCCAGCACAGGTCAGCACAGGACCTTCCTGCAGGAGCCTCAGGGAGAATGCATGGTGGAAGCAAAGTGTGAGAGGTAGGAGGAGATGAAGTCAGAGAGCACCACATAGCCAGGTCTCCCAGAGCCTTGTAATGCACTGCAAGAATTGGAAATTGGTTCGAAGTACAATGAGAAAATTTTCTCCTGAATTGGATGGGCTTAGGAGGACCCCACAAGAAAGAAGATAGGAGTAAAGCTGCCTAGACAGCAGGTCAGGATTCCCTGCGGGGCTAGAGACAGAAGTGGAAGCATAATACTGTAACTCTTACTTCCAACCCCGAGCCCCACCCTGCACAAACGTAGGGTACCTGTTTCTAGAATAGTAAGGGCAAAAGGTTCCTGGGACCCACTTATCACCCCGTACTCCCAATGTGCCCCTTTGTTCTGGGATGTAATGAGCACGCGTTTATCCCTTGGTAGTGCAGAGGCAACAGGGGCAACCAGAGAAAAAAGAGTGAAGAAGGGTCGGTCTCACAGCAAGCAAGACGTGCGGGACACTGCCGGACAAAGCAAACAAGAGGCTTTCGCTGGGGAAACTCAGGCGTCTGCATGAGGAAGTGCTGCCCAGCACATTTGGAGACAGCCTCTTCCTGAGCATGCTCAGTTCACGGTGGTACACACGCCGAAACCAGCGGACAGGAACATCTCCTGGAGAACCCCAGCCACTCAGGAACATCTCCTGGAGAACCCCAGCCACTCATCCTTACTGGAAAGAAGGGCCGGAGACAAAGGCTGTCCCCGCGGCCCCTGCCTGTGGCCAGGCAGGCTTCACCTAAAAGCAGCCTTCCCCATGGTCCCTGGGTTTCATCAGCCCTCCTAGACTAGCCAACTACCAGATGGAATCAGATCAAAGCAAACCCAAGAGCGTGGGGAGCACCTCGTGGCTGCTGCTGGACGCGTGAGTTACACAGAGTCTCTGCAGGAAACTTACAGGGTGAGTAAATGCAAAATAAGCACACAGACTAGACACTCAGTTCCCATGAATCTGCCCCTAGGAAATAGTGAAAGAGACCTACACACACAATGGTTCCTGCATCGTTTTAAAAAGTTTTTCTAAAAGGGCGGGGGGGGGGGGGAATATAACCTAAGTAATTAATGATAGGGATGAAGTGGTCTCTTGTACTTTGACAGCTGTGACATAGCCCTATCAAAACTAATGTTGGAGTATGTACCCTAATAAATATTTAATTTATTATAAAGTACATATGGGTATAACTGAGCCAAAATATTATGTGCATGATTAAACACACATTATGGTCACTGTAAGCATATTATTTATTTTATTTATTTATACTACAAAACTACTTTGGCATAGAGCAATGTGATTTTGGATATGTTTGGTTATACATTAAACTCTTAGGTCAATACTTTGTTATACAATTGAAAATTTAATATAGTTTTATACATGGTTATAATAGTTGCCATAATTGAAAACAATCTTTTATAATGACACAGATAAAATAATATAAAAGTAGAATTGAGCATATATGATTTACTACATCAAGAAATTAATTTTCATTTTCATAGCCTAAGTGAAATTCTATTTCTAAGGTATTAATGACAGGTCTTTTATATTTCATACAAAGGCATCCAATCAGAAGACACTGCCCACCAGTAACCAGCTCGGGGTGGGAGGCAGCAGCTGGCCCTTCCCCAGCGTCTACTCCAGCAGCCCTCAGGATGCTTCCGCCCCAGGTAGCCAGCATGGGCTGGAAAAAACGGCAGCCAGCCCTGCACCAGCACACCCAGTGGCCACCACTGGATACCCATAGCCAGCACTGACTGGGCAGGAGAAGCCAGGAGAACCAGACAGTCATGCTCCAGAGAAATCGTAGCCAACGTGGGAAGTGTCTGGGACCCCACTGCCTGCTTGGTTGGAAGAACCCAAGAAAAGTGAAGAAGAAGAAGAAGAAGAAGAAGCACAAGGCAGTCCCTGGTCTCCAACCCAAGCAGAGCAAGTCCAGGAGATGAAAATACGGAAGAGATCAGGAGTCGCACACCGGAAGTGTCTGAAGTGACGGCAACTGAAGTGAAGAAACAACCTCAGGAGGCTATAAAAGAAATTAGATCAGAAATACTATCTCAGGTAAAAGAAGAAATGAGAAACATAATAAAAGAATCGCTAAGTACCTCTAAAGAAGACACAGATAGAACAGAGGAGCAGAGGAAAATGAGGGAAACTCTGCATAAACAATATGAGAGATTTAGGCTGCATGACACAGATTCAAAGAGGTATCCAGGCAATTAAAAACTCCACTGAAAGTTGAAAAAAACACTTGAAAGAAACTGAAGATAGACTTTCAGACCTTGAAGACGGGTGGGCAGCTCACAATCATGAAAAGAAAGATATCATAAAAATAACAAGAAACCAGGAATTAACAGTTCAACAACTGCAAGACGACACAAAGCAAAATAACTTCAGAATAACAGGTGTCAGTGAAGAAGCAGGGGTCAACACAAATGACATTAAAATTCTATTTACAGATTATTAGCAGAAAACTTCCCAAACATGGGAACAGGACAAGATATAAGGTAAGTGAGGCATATAGAACTCCATCTAGCCATAACCAAAATAAATCTACACCCAGACATATAATAATCAAGATTCCAGAAATTCAACACAAGAACAGAATAGTAAAAGCTATTAGAGAAAATAAACAAATCACCTATAAAGGAAAACCCATCAGAACCACGACAGACTTCTCAGCACAAACCATCAAGTCAAGAAGAGCTTGGAGTGAAGCATTTCAAGTTCTGAAAGAAAACAACTTCTAACTCAGATTGATGTACCCTGAAAAATTATCTTTCAGAATTAAGGGAGAAACAAGATACTCCCATGACAAAGAACAACTGAAGGAATTCATGACCACTAAACCCTACAAAGAATACTGAAGGACACTCTAGAGAGAAATAAAAAAGACCACAGTTCAGGAACAGCGGCAGAAGGGGATCACAGAGCAAAGCAGACAATGGAATGAAGGGAAAAGTAGGCAGCCAATGACAGGAAAATAGCACGGCAAAGACAAACCAGTGCATGTTGGTCATAACCATTAATGTAGGTGGCCTCAATTCACCAACAAAAAGAGACACAAGCAGAGTGGATCAGAAGACAAGATCCATCAATATGCTTATTGAAGAAACCCATTTAACTCAAAAAGAAATTCATAGACTAAAAGTCAAAGGACAGAAAGCAAGCTCTATGTGACAGGGAATCAGAAAAAAGCAGGGGTAGCTCACCCATCAACTGCAGAATAGGTAAGAAAGATGTGGCATACAATTTATTATAAATATACACTATACAGTGGAGAGCTACTCAATTATAAAGAAAGTTAGACTTGAGGCTCTGGAGGGTAAATGGATACAGCTTGCGACCATGCTCGTGGGTGAAATGGTTCAGAGTCACATGGGTGAGCATCACATTGTCTCCCTAGTGTAAAAACTAAAGGAGTGAGTGGGACCCAAAATGCACAACAGATGTTATGAAGGTGAAAGGGAAGGAGAGGTCTAGAGGGGAAGGCAGTGGCCATTGTTAATCTATATCCTGTTTTGAAACCTTCTGTTGTTTTCATTATTTTGTTTAGCTTGGTTTTATTCTGTTTTGTCTTGTTGGATTTTATCATATTTAATGGCATGGACAGCTATTTCAAAAATAACAAAATGTATTAAAGTAGCCATTTTTGAGTTCCAGTTATCTTGTTTCAAAGCCCTGTTTTGCTCTGTTTTCTTTTGATTGATTTTATTCTGTTTCGTTTTGTTTGATTTTATTATGTCTGATGGTGTAAACAGCTACTTTGAAGACAACAAGATGCATTATGGTAGCCACTGTTGTATTCCTACTGGCTTGTTTTGAAGTCCTGTATTGGTTTTATTGTGTTGTTTTGATTGGTTTTATTCTGTTCTGTTTTGTTTGATTTTATTGTGCCTGATGCGATAGGAAGTTATTTTGAAGATAGCAAGAGGCATCTTGGTAGCCATTGTTGGTTTCCTTTTATCTTGTTTTAAAGTCTTTCATTACTTTCATCATTTTGTTTTGATTGTCTCTATTCTATTTTATTTCTTTTGTATTTTATTCTCTTCAAAAAAAAATACAAAGGTATCCAAACACTAACATTTTCATTGGCAGATCTTTTAACAAGTAAGAAAATGCTGCTTCCCCATTTTGAGTTGAGCAAATATGACAGTTTTTATAACTGTACCTAGTCTAGCAATCAAGTCATCACATTGGAAATCAAAATGCTCTCAATATTCTTCAAAAGGCATTAATTTTGCTACTTGTTATTTAATATCATCATCATAGCTTGAGGGACAGATTCCAAGTATTGCTTCTTGTGTTTGTGTTTGTTTTTGTTTTTGAGACAGGGTCTCCCGCTGTGTAACCCTGCTGCCTTGAACTCACTGTGTGGTCCAGGCTGACCGGGATCTCATGACAGTTCTCCTGCATTAGGCTCGCAGTGCCCGGATTACAGGCTTACAGGCGTATACTACCACGTCTGCCCCATGTTTTTATACACATCTGATCTTTGTGTAGATAACAATTTTTTAACACATTTTTATGTCCTTAAGAATAATATAAATGTTTCATGCTCTGTTAAGAGCTCTATTTTAGAAATTGAACCACATCACTATTTCTCAGTGGAGACCTTGGCCCTTCCAGCTCTAATTCTTTGCTGTGGTAGTTTGCTAAGGAACATATTTCTAGTGTGACAGAGGTTATTAGACCGTATTTGTTGAACACTTGGTGCAGCTGAAATACCTCAAGCAAATTAGTTTGTTTAATTTTCAAACCTGTCCCTCAAGAGGCCCCAGTTGCTATCCCCACTTCATAAGCAAGGAAACTGAGTTATGGGAAGTCACGTGCTGTGACCTAGATTCCAGGGCTTCGTATGTTGAAATCTAATCCCCATTCTGGAAATGTGATCTGAGTGTGGAGTCTGAGGTGGGGGCTGTGGCAGGTGATTGAGACAGACAAGGTCACTGTGATTGGGCCCTGTTAGCATTATAACAAGAGAGAGGCCAGATGACATATGTTATATGCCAGCTTCCTGTTTCTTGCCATGTGACACCCTGTGCCCCTTAGGACTCTGCCAGCAAGGCCTTCACCAGATGTGACTTTACACCTTGACTTTGCACCTCCAGAACTGTGAGCTAAGCTAAGCCTTTTTACTTTATAAAGCAATCAACCTCAGGTATTTTGTTGTAGTAACAGAAATTGAACTTACAAATTTAAGTAACTCATCCACACTCACACAGCTAGCAACCAGCAGCACTGTAATTTGAACCATGACACTCTGGGTCTGCTATTACCCATGATGTGACACTGGCCACTTTATTAGGGTGCACAAGAATCTTGTTATTGCAGTAGAAACCTATGCTCTGGCTGCACTTATGTTTGCATTTTTTAAAGTCATTTATTATAGTATGGCTCTGAAATGTATCCCCAAAGACCATGCATTACAGACTTGGTCCCCAGGGTGGCATTACTTGGAGGTGGCAGAAACTTTAAGAGACAGGGCATACTGCACCCTTGAATGGCTCTGTGGCATTCCAACTGTCTTGTTTCCTGGCCATATGTGAGATCCTCCAAGCACTCCTGCCACAGTATGCCAGCTCCCCACAAGCCCAAAGCAATGGAGCCAACCAATCATGGACTGGCACTTCCAAAACCATAAGCCAAAATAAACCTGTCTTTATAAGTTGATCATTTCCTCAGAGTGATGGAAAATGTGAGAAATCACCATTATGGAAGACATCATTCATTACTGAGAATGTACCTCCCCCTTTCCTATGGTGTAGACCTGGATTGTTTCCCCCAAAGTCTCATGTGCAGGGAAGGTGATTAGACCATGGGGTGCTATACTCATTGGTGGGTTAGTCCACTAATGGGTTCATAGCTGATACACAGTTAGGAGCCGGTGTGGTTGAAGGTGGCAGATCTCTAGGGCGTTAGCTAGAAGGATATGTCTCTTTCCCAGGCTCTTGCCTTCACGCTGCTTCCTGGCTGCCATGATGTAAGCAGCTCTCCTGCATCAGACCCCGCTGTGTCCTTCCTGCTGGGCGCCAGTGGACTACAGACTGAAAATATGAACCAAAGTAAATGTCTCCTTCTTTAAATTACATGCCTGTTATTGTGTCTCAGGGATGAAGAAAGTGACTAAGACACTTTCATTGTCCTTTTGTGGTGGCTTACAAAAACTTACCTCATGTGTTTCATTTTTAAAGGAGAATTTAGCAACTGCAACAACTGAACACTGTTGGAAAAATGTGCAGTCTCATCCAACTGTATGGTAAAATTCCCACACTGCACACTTCCTCTCATGTTTGTCTCCAGAAATTCAGCAACTGCTTCCCATGCATTTTAATGGTGTTTTATTCTAAAAAATATTGCATTTAAATTCATTCTCACATTTTTTTTCCATGTGTTATTGTGGGCATTATATACAGTTTCTGAGCATCTAAGTATTTATTACTATTAGTTTAGTAAAAATGGCAAAGCGCTGAAATGTTGGATGAATTCAAACGTTGGTGGGGAAATACTGCACTTTGTCCATCCATTCTATGTTATATTTTATCATCTTGCCTATGGTGAAATTCTCACTCTCTTATATCTTAAGATATGATATACACATACTGTACGGTCATTATTAATGACATGGCTATATATTTATGAGTTATGTAATCATCTCAAGATGTTCATATATTTTGGGCTGATTTTTTTTCAGATCTGGTTGTACTGTTTTTATTTCTAACAAAAATTACAAGTTCATAATGGGAGCTAAAGAAGAATCCACTCCACCATTTTTTGAGTTTTTCTCTCATGCTGTGCAATTTCTCTGTAGGAAGGTTTTTAAGCTAGCTGGCTGTGAGAGTTATTAGTTAAAAGAATATAATCTCGTTCCACAAAGATGCAAGAGCAGTAAGCAGCAGAGAAAACAGCCTCTCGAATGAGAGTCACCATCCAGAAGCTGGAATCTCTAGAGAATCATGAGGAAGACAAAAAGGAAAGAAGGAAGGAAGTGGGTCCCCTGGACCCGGGAAGAATCTGAAGTGCAAGTTGAAGCCCACAGAGAGAGTAAAAAGAAAACTTCAAGGAAGACCAAAAGTGGTAGCCAGTGGTGCCTCTCCCTGAGAAGACAGGACTCACTGCTCAGACCTAGGGATGCACGATCATGGCGGTGGTGACCGCTGGCAACTCCGGGAGCCTCTGCAGAGACACAGCAGTGGAGGTAGATGTGAAGGACAGCACTGGCTGGTGGTGAGTGCGGAGGACTCAGTCCTCCTGCAGGGAGAGAGCAATCAGCCAGGAGCCAGTTTGGAGTCGGGCTGGCCAAGCCCAGAGCCCAGAACTGCTGCCGACTCCCTCCAGCAGCTCCTGGCTGGGCGCAGACCCATGGAAATTGCCTGGACTTCAGCAAGCCCTGTGAGCCTGCTCTCAGGGCAGCCTGCTGAGGTTGACCACTACTCCACCAGAAAGCAACTGCTGGCTGGCTGGCTGGCTGGGACAGATCGGCAGGATCTGGGACTCTGCCTCCAGATGTTGTCTACTAGTGAACCCAGAGAGAATCCTGGATGTGAACTATTTGTTTTTCTTTTTCTTTTCCAGTATTTTTTCTTTTTTCCTTTCTTTTTTTTTTGTTTGTTTGTTTGTGAATTTTGGGATTTTAGTTTTGTTTTGTTGTTTGATACAGGGTCTCAATATGAAGTTCAGCTGTCCTTGAACCCACTTTATAGCCTAGGCTGCTCTTGAACTCACAATGATCTTCCTGCCTCAGCCTCCTGAGTGCTGGGATTACAGGCAGGCACCACCATGACTTCACTGTTTTTATATGAGTGTGACAGTGGTTCCTAACCTCTTTGGGGGCATCATTCTGCTCTTCCTTCTTTCTCTTCCGTTGCTCTTCTCCTTTAGTCTTTTGCACCAGTTCTCTCAATTTGGTGTGATCCCCCTTTGTCCTCCAATCTTATTTCTAATCTCTTTCTCTTTTTCACCTCTCTATTTTCTCTTTAATCCAGTTTAAATTTGAACCCTCAAAGACAAATATGGACACATTATGGACTTATATGTAACATGTAATTATCTGGTTTGTTTTGCATTTCATTATATAATTACAAATACATTTCATATGATTAAAAGTTGCAAATTAAGGATTAGCTCAGTCTGTTGTTTCTAGGCTGTGTTTGATGCTATTAGTATCACTATAACCAAAATTGACATAATTGTTCTAAACAGTTGTTGGTCCTGATAATCCATCACTGAGATTAACTAAGGGTTACAGAAAATACTGTGGCACAGTGCCAAAGAACAAAGGTCTCTAAAAAACTGAAGAGATAAGATCTTACAACAGACTCCAAATCCAAAAACTGGAAGATACTTCACAGAAGTAGTCTTCACCTGAAGGTCTTAAACATTACAAATAAAGCAACCCACCATAGGCGACTTGAAAGGTTCTTGCCCTAGTATAAATTTCTGTACAGTTATGGCGGTGGTCTAACATGGCAGAAGGCCAAAGCCTACCACTTCCTGCTTCTTCTTCAGCCCTAATTGCAACTCCCCTTTCTGTTTGCACACACAGAAAATTCCATTCGGTTCCTCACACTTCATCAATATCCACCCCATGCACCACTTCAAGCAGAGGTTATATAACCCTCTGCCTCTCTGTATCTGGTCGAAGGAGACAACCCAGCCACCATG